AATAATATCCCGCCTATCTGGTCGGGTGAGGACCACTCTAGGCGGCTAACAGTCATAAAAATACAACAATAAAAGATATGAACAATTCTGACTAACAGCCTAATGAAGATCTGTGCAGAGTCGGAAACTAGCTTACTTTTTGTCTTTTTTGTATCTAAATGCAGGTAAGTAAAGGTGCCTTCAGATTGTGTACAAAGACTGCATGGTCTCTTTTCCTTCTTTTAGTTATATTTTTAAAATACATTTCAGGAGATTTTAAAAAATGGGACTGTCTTTGAGGCACCGCAGTGCGTAGGGGAAGTGTGGCTAACGGATGAAGCAACACACAAAAGGAATGTGAGCGGTGGGAACTCAACTGCAGAAAAAAAATCACACCGCGACCTCTGGAAGACCACTTCCGGAACCCACACCCACACATCCCTAAACGTGCGCGCAGGCGCGTGATTGTGTCAACTGTATAAGAGAGAAGCCTGGAATGAATGAAGACGGACTGTGGTGAGCCTCCATTCAGAGGCGCGGCCACCCCAACGTTCTTGGGATGGTAGCTGCACTGACGAGGCGGGACAGAGAGAGATCCGATTGGCTGTGCCAAGTTCAATGGGCGGGGCAAAAACAGGAGGTGGGAATGGGCGAGGCCTATCCGTTAACGGACGAGGAGGGGGGGGGAGACCTGGAGAAGGCATTTCCGCAGCGTCTGGGTTTTCCCGAGCGCGCGCGCACGCGGGCCGGGGTGGGCGGAGCTAGCGGGTATTATCATTCCCGCTCCCCCCGCCCACTCTGTTCATCCTCCTTTTGTTAGTCCCTCCCCGCGTTAAAGAGCCCCGCGTTCCGCTGCGGGAGCCGCAGTAGAGCCGGCGCCTCCTTGAGTGTCAAGCGGCGCCATTGGGCAGCGGGGGCGCCCTCGTCTCTCCCTGGTTTCCAGCCCGCGGTGCCACCCTTGCTCCTCTTCAGCTGCTCCTTCGGCTGGATGCCGCTGAGCTCGGGTTCCCGGCCGTCTCCTCCACGACCTCCACCGTCGTCTCCTCCGCTTCTCCTCCTCCGCCTTCCCGCTTCGCCTTCGCGCCGCTGTCGTTGTTAAGCCCGGGGTGGTGGTGGTGGTGGTCCAGACGGAGTGCCCGCGTCAGAAGCCGGGCGGCGGCGACTGTGACTTGGGGGGCCCCCCACGATGTTCGACAAGACGCGGCTCCCTTATGTGGCGCTGGATGTCATATGCGTGATATTGGGTATGTCTTCGGAGCCAGGAGGTCGGGGGGGGAGGGGGGGAGAGGAGGAGGAGGAGGAGGATGAAGGCTGCTGGTTGTGGGGGGAGGGAGGCTGGTTGGTGCCCGGGATGCTTGCTTTGCTGTGCGCTTCCCTTTCCTCAGGATCTACTTGTTTGCGGTGCTCTGGCTGCTTTTGGGGGGGGGGGGCTGCAGAAACTGACAAAAACCTGCCACTGCCTCAGTTAGTGCGGTAATCTCATATGTATATGTATTGATGTACAGTATTCATATAAACATGTGTACGTCTCTGTGTGTTACATGCACACATACACTTTCCTTGACTCTAAAAATACACGTGTGTGCATACATATGCGTTGTATTTACCTCGGGGCAGCTTGGCTCTCACTGCATGTTGACAAGCTAATCTCCGCCTTTTCCCATCTTCCCTCCCCTAAGTATGTATTTGGTTTGCAAAAATAATTGCAAATTTTTTCCCCTTCATCTTGAGTTCTCCTGTCTTTCTCCGCTTCCCACTTTATTTATTTACTATTGCTGCTTCTTTCTGTACAGCCATCCATCCACTTGCTTGTTGGAAAAGATTTGGAGATCACCCTGCCCTGAAAGTCTCGCTTGGACAAACTTGGTCACTGTTAACTCTTTTGTCTAGATTAGGATCCTTTGAAGTTGGCTAATGTCAGAATGTCAAAATTGCCATCAATCACTGGCAGAAAGAGAAAATGGAGAAAACCAGCTTGGTACACTGAAAATAGATTCCTCTATACCTGTTGGAAGGGATAAAGAGTATATGAAGCACATGGGAGTTCATTTCACTTAGCAATTTTTTTTCTCTTATCATGCTTGCATTGTAAGAATAAGGAAGGTCAGTTGACCATATTGTTTGCTGATATCCAGTATAATGTAGTCATATATGAGATTTTCTTAATGTGAAATTCTGAAGGTTGTTTTTGTTGTCTATTGAAGCAGTCAAGAATTAGATCTTCTATTTTGGTCACAGAAGGTGAAAACTTAATTTTCCCCACTAAATATATTTTTTTCTGTCTCTTCTTCACATACTGCATATTAGTAAGAGAGCTCACTGGAAAATAGTGTGTATCTATTGCATAGTCTTTTGAAAGGAAACCAGTTTTAATATCTAATTTCTGATAATGAGTTGTTGCGTAATGTATGGCCTTGGAAAATCTTCTTTTGGCATAGTATCTGGCCTTATGATGGCCTTCCTTAGTTGGATGGATGTAGGATTCTGCTGATGGATTAATTTCTTTGCAGCTAAATTAACATAATATCTTTGAAAATGGTGGTCTCTTGACTGTGATCCAGCATTCTTTTGGAGAAGCATCTATTAGTTGCAAGATTTGTTTGAATTTTACATTAACATTGCATACCAAAGGTTATTGGAAGTCAGACCAGAGTTAAGGTAGTTCATTGAAGTAGTTGTTAATTAGCTGTGGTTTAAGAAACGGAGCAAATTTCTTGCCATGTAAAATTTGGCACTTGCAGAGAACGAGAGGGCTTCTATGAGATAGTTTTCCATTACAGATAACATAGGATCTTGAGTTAAGCATTACCTTATCAGTTTGGTGTTTTTCTTGATTCTGACATGCAGAGATTTGAGGGGCAACAGACCAATTTCAGTGTAAAACCTTTCGTGCATGAAAGAATGTGTCAGGAAACTTTTTATATCTGAATAAATAAAAAAATATTTGTGAAGGAGCAGGGAGGGAAATAATTTGTCTGTGAATTGCTCTCACAAATCCTAACAGATCCTGAAACTTTAGTGAACAATTGGAGAACTGGAGACTAAGTGAAGCGTTGGAAAGTTCTTGGTATGAATCACATCTCTGCCAGAAATCCAGCAGGCGGTCTTAGTCTAATGAAGCTTTAATGCTCATCTACAAAATGTAATATTTTTACTTATATTACAGGATTGCAACAATATCATGTACGTAAAGTGTATTGAATGTGTTAAAGTGGTGTATAAATACATAATACTGTACATACTTGTCCTATGGGAGAAAAGTTGCTAGAAGCAGCTTAGTGTTTGCTAACTAATTGCTGTCTAAAAGATACATTACTATTTCAGTAATAGTGTTTTTGAAAATAATTCTTGTATATAATGAAATTATATGTCAAATGACATTTAACTGGAGAAGGGAGAGAAGTATAGTTCCCTTCAGCTGCAGTGCTGTTCAGCATTTTAAATGGTGATTTAATGATTCTAAGTAGTAATCTTCTATCTGATGTATTAAGACAACATATTGAGCCATTTTAAGGAAGATTAACATTGATTTGGCAGAACTTTGATGCAGAAGAAACAATGGTTAGTTTTGTAGCCATGTTAAGATTATCATAGTAGTGGTTAGGTATTTGGCTCTGGAGGCAGATATTGGGAGTTTGATTCCTCTCCGCCTTTTGCAAGTAGAGCCAGCCTGTTTAGCCTTGGACAAGGTCCACAGTTCCAGGACACCCCCTGGAATAAGAGAATGATAAACTACTACTGAGTGTTCTGTACCTGGAAAACTCTGAAAAGCTTGCCGTAAATCAGAATTGACTTGGTAGCACATGATGATGATCATAATCTAATACTGTACACAAGCAGACAAAAGTTATTAGTGGTGGCAAATCAAAATAACAAGTAAAATGATAAACACTCTTGCATTGAACAACTAATTATCATGTGTAGCATGCTAAGAAACTTGTAGCTTGATATAAGCCACAGCTGATAGAACTGGGATTCTTAATTAAGTGGTTTCATATTTCAGTCTCCCATTGAAATTCCTTTGCTCAGAGATTATCCCTTCAAGAACATATAGGAACAAAATTTCCAGAAACAAAATTGGCATTTTTCTTCTCTCATTTGAAATACTTTGCAGATCAGTCAAGTGGCCTTGAATTGTTGCTGTGATCAAATGGCATTATGTGATGCAAAGCAGGAAGGAAGGCAGTTGAGGCTAGGATTGGATATATTTAATAAAATACAAAGTTACACAGAAGTGAAAAGTGTAAATACGTTTCTAAAGAAGGGGAAAAACATAATTAGGCTAAAATGAAATATATTTCAAGATAAAACAATCATAAGTACTGCATAGCTCAGTGATTTAGGTCTCTGGCTGCAAAACCAGAGGTTGGGAGTTCGATTCCCACTGTGCCTCCTTGACAGGGGCTGGATGTAGGATCCCTTCCAGTTCTGCAGTTCTAAGATTTGTAAATATTATTATTATATGTTGATAAAATTGAGCTTGAGGTGAAACTAAGAGTTTCAGTTTATGTAATTGCTATTGGTTGAGGAAGGATAGAACTCTTGTTTAAATGGATAATTGACATGACTGACTGAAAACATGTTGCAGCCTGAGGTGTAGGACAACCTGGAACGTTCTCTCTCTCCATCTATGGAAAGCCCGTCCCACCATGAGCCCATTTGCTTTCACCTGGCTTCAGAAGCTATGCAGGAGTAGGCTGGTTAGTACTATGATGGGAGAAGACTAAAGAATGTCAGGGTATCTAGGTAGGGCTTGGAAAAAATTTGGTCTGAGAAACTAGAACTTTGCTGACACTCAGAGTTGACAATTGATGGCCAGTGGCCTGACTCAGCATAAGGCAACTTCCTGTGCTTCCAAATAGGTTGTACTGGCAGTTGAAATTAATTCTTTAGATAGAAATACTACTACATCACCTGAGAATGGTAGGCTAGCTCATGGGCTGCAGTGGGACCTGGAACACAAAGTTCTGCCTTTTAGTGGAGTGTCTCTTCAGGATGAGAGGGTGAAATCATTGGATGCCGAAAGTGGCCAAGGCACTTCTGTCTCTACAGGATGAGAGGGTGAAATCATTGGATGCCCTTCAAACAGCATTCCAAAATGAAGGCTTTGTAGGTTTGTCAGTGGCTTTCAATTCATGATAAAGTCACTTGGGGAATTAGGTTTTCTGCAGATTGTCAGCTTATTTTAAGTTGTAAGCATTAGTTCAGGTCTCCTGTCAACATTGTGCATGTTCAACTGTAAAGGATTGAAAGTGTGCTCATCATGGCTTGTTTTCCCTGTAATAAGTAGAACAGTGCTAGGGAGGAAGCCACCAAGCATTAATTCCATGGCAAAGCCCAGCTGGAGGCCTGTTACAGCATGGTAGTAACTGCTGTTCTAGTAAATTTTGCCCCTGGCTAAAAAGCGTGCTTCTTGGTTGTGTTTTCAATTCATAGGCTATACTTGATGCAAAATGTTTTAAATCCCAGTGTGTGTATACACACACACACACACACACACACACAGAGTGTGTGTTTAAGAGTTTGTGTTGTTTTAGTTACACACACACAGAGAGAGAGAGATTGTTGGAATCCATACAGCACTGATTACCTAGAGCAGAAGTAGGCAGATGTCAGACACAAGGAATCAATTCTTTTTTAGAACTTCAAGGTCCACTAGCCAGACCCACCTGCAAACTCTTGGCTTTGGTGTAGAGTGTGTGTAAAATACACACATTATATATATAATGGTAAAATACACACATTATATATATAATGGCAAAGGGTAGCACTGAACTTGCAGAAATTGCTCTCCATTTATAGTAAAATTCTTTCCTACAGCTTTCAATGAGTATGAAAGAGAAGGCCTTCTTGGGGGCAGCTGTCAGCCAGTGGAAATCTCTGGCAAGGGAGGCTAGGCTCATTCTGTTCCTGTTGTCTTTCCACAAGAAGACAAAGACCTGTCTGGTCACGTATGCTCTAATCAACTGACTGACTGTGGAGAAAGGAGCTTTTAACACATTGGTTCTGTGCTTTTAAAAAAGTAGTTCAAGTTTTTTTTTTAACTCAGCAGTATTGTAAGCTATGTCCATATAGATTTACCTTGGTGTAAATAGAAGTGTGCAAATTGCAGTGAGGAATTGTTGCTAATCAACAAATTCTTGCTTGCATTCCTGGTCGTATGCCACTCAGGTAACTTGGCACATGACTAGGAATAAAAGCAGCAACTTGTTAATTACTGGCATTTTATTGCCACACCTTACAT